CAATTCATAAATTCGAGTTTCTCTGTTAAAATGACAGCATTTTCAGATTTCTTTAGCAGATGACAAGTTCTGATACACAATTCATCATGACAAGTTCAGTAAGGCGAATGACAATTTAGTAAGGCGAATGACAACTTCTGATAAGCAATTCATAGAAATTTGAGTTTCTGTGTTAAAATGACAGGTTCCCAGTAGGTTTTCATACTTTTTCCTGTTAAAATGACTGGATTTCCACATTGATTTATCAAATGACAGGTTTATAATAGAAAATGACAAGTTTTCATAAGATCTTTATGCTTTTTTTTGCTGGAATTACAATTGCACATTTCTGACAGCAACACCTTCTAACTTCTGATAAATACGAAATGACAAGTTCAGAATGAAAAATGACAAGTTAAGTATAGCAAATGACAAGTTCCCACAATGTTTTCATACATTTTAATACTTTTTCTGCTAAAATTACAATTTGCACATGTCTGACAGCACCCACTTCTGATAATTGCAAACAAGCTCTAAATTGTGAAAATCAAGTATGATGATTGTATTTCGGTGGAAAAATAGATCAAGGTGTGGCATGTGAGGAACAACGAGCCCTAAATACAATGCTAAACGAATAAAGTTCTCGCTTTATATGTAGAATTTGATGGTTTCTTGTTCATATGATATGTCAATTTATATTTGGGATTTCATGGTTGAGGATGCACTTGTGAGTGGATATGATCATCGTAGTGCATTTGCCACTGGTGTTGATATGAGCATGCTTCGTGAGGGGCTTATGAGAGTTCTGGTGCTATAGTTTTATACATTAGGAGGAAATGAGAGGTGAAGTTGATGATGAAAGATGTTAATCAGAAGTGGTTGCTGTCAGAAATCTGAACATTGTTATTTCAGTAGAGAATTTACATTTGTATGAAAACGTGATGGAACTTGTCATTTTACATACTTAATTTGTCATGCGCTATTGTGGACTTGTCATTTATTGTTTATTAAAAGTGATTGCTATCAGCAATGTGCAAATTGTAATCCCACCAGAAAAAGTATGAAAATGTATGAAAACATTATGGGAATTTGTCACTTGCCATACTTAACTTGTCATTTTCCATTATGAACTTGTCATTTCGTGTTTATTCAGAAGTGGGTGCTGTCAGACATGTGCAAATTGTAATTTTAGCAGAAAAAGTATGAAAATGTATGAAAACATTGTGGGAACTTGTCATTTGCTATACTTAACTTGTCATTTTTCATTCTGAACTTGTCATTTCGTATTTATCAGAAGTTTTGCTGTCAGAAATGTGCAAATTGTAATTCCAGCAAAAAAAAGCATAAAGATCTTATGAAAACTTGTCATTTTCTATTATAAACCTGTCATTTGATAAATCAATGTGGAAATCCAGTCATTTTAACAGGAAAAAGTATGAAAACCTACTGGGAACCTGTCATTTTAACACAGAAACTCAAATTTCTATGAATTGCTTATCAGAAGTTGTCATTCGCCTTACTAACTTGTCATTCGCCTTACTGAACTTGTCATGAATTGTGTATCAGAACTTGTCATCTGCTAAAGAAATATGAAAATGCTGTCATTTTAACAGAGAAACTCGAATTTCTATGAATTGCTTATCAGAAGTTGTTATTTGCCTTGCTAAACTTGTTATTCGCATTACTGAACTTGTCGTGAACTGGGTATCAGAACTTGTCAATTTGTTATTTTCAACAACTTATCAAACTCGTTATTTTCAATTACGAACACAAGCTGAGAATCAAAATAGAAATGAAGAATAAAAATCCAGATTTATTGGGCATTGTCTCAGCACCAAGCAATTACCACACACATTGCAAACAAACATTACAAGCATTATAAATGACTGTCACTCTCCCTCAAACTCCCGACTCTCCTCTCCTTCCACAGCAACAGAGAGAATGATGGAAGAGGCTTCATTGTTGACGAAAGAGCAGGTAAGCAAGATAAAAGAAAGTGACGGGGATGACAATGAGGAGAGGACCACCGAAAGACATTGGGAGTTCCATATACTCTGGGAAAAGAGTGAGGAGAGGGAAGGAAACTTGGAGAGGAAAGAGAGAACGAAGAGAGAGAGGAAAATGAGGAGCAAGGTCGGGAAGAAGATGATCTGGAGAGGAAGAAAGAGAGAAAAACAGAGGGCATTTTGGACATTCTACCATCATTTCATAATTGCAAATTGGGACCGGGTCCTTGTGAGCAATTTCTCAAATTCAGGGTCCCTGATTGCTATTTTATATATTGAGGGGTCTTTATTTGCAATTTTCCCTTTAACAATTGCACCCCTGCTGTTGGTTATCAAACTAAACGCTATTAGCAAAGTTAACAGAGTTAGTCCCCTCCTCTTCCTTCTTACCTTTTCGTTTTCTCTTCATTGACTCCTTCATGTTTGTTGAAAATCATTCTCAAAACTAGAATCCTTCCTTTAAAGTCTACAAGCCAAATATGGTTCCATGGTCGATCACTCTCCCTGTTGGTTCGCATCTTGCTATGTTTATAACTGATCATTCTATTGCCATACAAGCCTTCATTCAAAACTAACAAAAAGGGAAAATATGTACAGCCAATCTGTATTAACAGAAGAAAAAGTGAACAAATGGTGCGAGCTAGTAGTTGGATTTGAACTTTGAATTAATTAATTGATATATATTCTTTAATTTAATTTAATTTCTTATTGTTGCCTCTGCCTATGGGCTGACTTCGCGGCTTGGGAATAGAGATGATGTCACCAATGTCAACCGTAGTAATGAAGCTGGGGATAGAATTGGGACACCAATTGCAAGCTCCTTCTAGGTGACCCTCTTGGTGCTTCTGAAGGTGAAGGAGAAAGTTCAATGTCTCCAACCAGTGATGATCAAGAATCTAATTCTGAAGATGGTGCGAGACTTTCTTTGGCCAGGGTAATGTTACTGAAATCAGACCATATTCAAAACATATAGCAGGATGAGAACCAAGGGAAAGAGAGATTGATCAGGGGGCCATACTTGGCTTGAAGACTTCGAAAGATGGGTCCCAGTTTTGAAAATGATTTCCCCAAAAAAATGAAGGGGCTGATGAGAGGAAAACAGAAATGATTAGGAGGAAGAGGAGGGGACTAACTCTATTAACTTTGTTAACAATGTTCAGTTTGATAACCAACGACAAGGGTGTAATTGTTAAGCATAATAAATTTTAGGGGCTGAGTTGCGACGAGTTAAACTTGAAGAACTAAGTTACAATTAAGTTAAAAGTTAAAAGACCAATTAACTAATTTTCCCTTTAAGTTATAAATCATAAGTTTTGGTTTCTCTTTCATTTAAAATATTAGTCCTTATAATCTAATAAAAACTGAGATTATTTTGTTCCTAGAAGCACCAGAGCCCATAATTTGAAACTTGATAGACTAAAATCAAAATGAAAATAAATTTGAGGAATCAAAAATTATATTAATTTTTTTAATTATTTCATTATACTTAATGGGCTTCGAAAACCAAATAAAACCTGCTGGATCAACCAAACAAAACCGACTAAAATCAATTGAAATAAGATTAATTCGGTTTCTTTTCTAAACTCAGTAGGTTTGGTTTTGTAGACCGAACAAGGCCGGTTTGAATTTTTTTTAATTTATTTATTTATTCCTTATGTACTGTAACTGTTTTTTTTTGTGATATATTATATTTATTTCTCTATTATTTCATTGATATTGTTGATATTTTGGTCTTGGTACCTAATAATAATTTTTTACATGTCATTTAGATATTAAAGTAATTAATCAACTTATTACTGAAAAAAAGTGATTAATCAACTCACTAACTCAGAATATATTTATTTAATCAACATTAACTCACTTTTAAAGTTTAAGTTTGTAATAATATATTACTACCTCCTGCCCTAATTATAAGACTTTGTTTGTACTACAAATAAGGTCTTATAATTAGGACCACGAGTAATATTAAATTAAATTTTTTATTTAGAATTAAATTTTAAAAGTATAGGGGTAAAGCAAAGAACAGGGGATGGTGGTAGACTGGTAGCTAATGGCAGAAAGCAACGACTATTAAATGTAATCAAATTTTTTATATGATGAAGCATGTTGTCATATCAAAAAAAAAAGTAAGGTGAGGATAAAATAATGGGTCACGTGAGAGTACATTTTTTGTTTGAGAATTACAACAAAATAAAAAAAATTATCAGTAAATCTTAATAATAAGTGAGTAGTGAGTAGTTATTTAATATCTTGAAACTTGCTATTATAGATTATTATGTTGTTATTAAAAAATTTAATAATTACGTTTTTAATTGAGACTCAGCAAATCTCTCTTATTTCTTGGCGTGCAATCAAATGACCAAATGGATCGTCCAATGAAAAAGACAGAAAAACCAAGCCGTGAGTTCATGGCTCGCGCAAGCGACAGTCAATGACTTGTGTGATGACCAAAGACAGACGGTCCCATCCTGGTGTCAGCTCCTTGTTTCCAAATCCACCTCTTCTACTATAAATCTATTATTTAAATTTTTAGGGAAATTATCAGAAAAACGCCCTAGAAATATTAAGATGACGAATCAGTAACTCCAATTCTAATAATTTCAAATTGGTCCACGTATATTCAATCTCATTGGCGGCCTAACACTGAAACTCTAGCACCAACAGTTGGGATTTTCGACGTGCTGAGATGGTAGCTGTTTCTTTGATCAAAATAAGTAAGGAGCAATGTAGTAAAAAGGCAACATTTTAATACATTGGACGTTATTGAAATTATAATTCCTGAATTGTGATTTAGATATTTTGAGGGTTATTTTATGTGATTTTCCTTTATTTTTACCGATCGCCACGTCTCTTCCCTACTGGAACGTTAGTGTCCAAAGCATCTGATGGACTGATATCCCGTTCCTGAGCGTTTGGTAAGTTCCAATTAATTGAGCGCCCACCATGAAGCATCACAGTCCAACATGAGGACAATGGCTCGCCATTCCCCTCAAGGGACGCTTTCTTCTTCCTTAAATCTCACCGCAACTGCCCCGCCTACCCCCACAGCCCACGATTTCTCAAGTTCGTCTGCTCCCATTGCGAAATCCTTCGATTGCTGAGAAGATGAGCCCCCCGGAGGGAATATGTTTCACCCAAGAGCAAGAAGATCTCGTGGTTAAGTCATGGGACGTAATGAAGAAGAATTCTGCAGAGCTGGCTCTTCAATTTTTCTTGAAGTAGGAATCTCCTTTACGGAATCTTCTTTTTTTTTATTTTAACTTTATCTTTTGCTGCCTTCTTAATCACGATTTATGCGTTTTTTGTTTAAACTTAGAATATTTGAGATTGCCCCGTCGGCTCAGAACTTGTTCTCCTTCTTGAGAGATTCTAAAGTTCCTTTGGAGCAAAACCCGAAGCTTAAGCCTCATGCTGTGAATGTCTTTGTCATGGTAAGCTTACTCCGTTTTTCTTTTTCAACCCTCCATTAACCTCATCCTTTTACTAAGTGAATGAAAGTACGACGATATTAAACCATTTATAGTTAACCCATCATTGCTTTAGCACCATTCATATTTTACACCTGGTAATTTTTTCCTGGATCTTTAATTGCAGACGTGTGAATCAGCAGTTCAACTGCGGAAGGCTGGTAAAGTCACAGTAAGAGAATCAAACTTGAAAAGATTAGGCGCTGTTCATTTCAAAAGCGGTGTGGTGGATGAGCATTTTGAGGTATTTGACTTGATCATTTGCTGATCAGAAAAGTTGACATCGTTAGTGTTGAAGATTTTTAAATGATTGCTATTTTGTCAAGTAATTTGAGGTGTTTGATTTGAGATTTTGCTGCATAAGTGAGACCTTCAACAGATAGTAGCAGATGTATCTTTGGGATCCCATTCTACTTTCAATTTCAAAGTGCATTACTGGTGAGACAGTTAAATATAAGGGAAAGACCATTCTGGAATTAGTAAAGAAATTTATAGATAGATCTAATTTACAGAAAATTGATAACTTAACCATTTATAGACATAAACATATAAAACTCACTTCTAACATGCTTGCATCTCTATTGATAATGGAAGTAGACTATATTTACCTAAGAATATACTCAAGTGTCAAAATATATCTGACTAGTGAGTTCTTTTCTGCAAGATCGATGTGTAATCTAATTTTCCCTTTCATGAAGGTTGTAAGGTTTGCACTTCTGGAAACCATAAAGGAAGCAGTGCAAGAAATGTGGTCACCAGACATGAAGAATGCATGGGGAGTAGCTTATGATCAGCTAGCTGCCGCCATCAAAGCCGAAATGAAAGCTTCCTCTTAGACTATCTCTACAACTTCCGCAGTCCTTTCCTCTCGAGTTCATAAAGTTTGATAGGGTGTCAGTCCAGGGTTTCTGCTTTTATGTTAGTGAGCTGGTGCTCTTGGTGATTGTGTTCAAAAAATTCTGTTGTATGAATATGCATTATATTGCTATCTTCACCAGGTTTGACAGCATATCAGTATATTAGCTTTGAACTACTGTTGAAGATAATAAAGATTTAATTTCTGTTTGTGATGGCTTTCTCTATATTTACTGTTCTATTGATAATACTTACAAATTTGAAGACAAGAATAGTTTGTTCCTAATCCCAATTCTAGGGCAAAATTTGGCTCTGAAAACAAATTGAGCGGACCCTTGTTGGGTGAAGTTTATATAGACAGATAAAATTGGGTCCATCCATCTCCTTGAAGGACATTAAAACTCTGTTGTCCTACTCTTCCACTCTTCAACATGTTCCTTCTCAGAAACTTAATGAGTATCTTGGACCCAAGCTTGAAAGGCCTGGATGAGTAAGGAGATTGATGTTCAGTGCACACAAGTGGTAAAGAGATTTAATGTGCAGTGGGAGTCTACGGTCCTAAAATTGGTGAGGTTAATACATGTGTCAGTCTAATATGTTCAAAACTTGAAAAGATGTCAAACCTCAGTATCAAAATTATTATATGCTAACAAAATTTACTTCTTTAAACGTAGAAGTTAGTTGAAGGGATTATTTGTTATCAATATAAGATTAATTTAATCTATCTCTAGATTTATTTTTTTTCCCCCTAAATTGTTCCTATTTTAATATAAAACTTGAGGCGGTGCAAAAAAGTAATCTGTATTTTGAAATAGAACGTGTCCTATTTTAATGGGTTGCTTGAATTGGAGTAACTTTCCATCCAAGTAAGCAATGTGCACTTGCGGTACCCAAAGGGTTTCCTCCTTGTCTTGTGAATTGAGAAGATGCACAACTACCCACACACTTATTGTGGGTTTGTCATCAAATGGGCATTGAGGTGGCCAAGGGAAACAGAGGAGAATGAAAAATCTCAAAGTGAAAACAAAAAACTATACTAACCAAACTGTTCCCATCCCATGATCCAGAAACCTCAAAAGAAATGTGTTATAACAGTGGTGAACCGATTCAGTTGTTATAATACACACACATTGATAGCTTTTATCTAAGAAAATGCAATGCGTAGAAAGATTTTGAGGGCCAATTCAGTGCCTGGGGTTTGGGACATTGATAATCATATTGTTATCCAAGGAACACTGGAATTATATTTAAGAAGACCTTAAATTTCATACCGTACCCAGACAAGTCCTATACACCATAATTCTGTAACTACAGAGTCCCAGGTTCAAACGACATTTACCAACAAAAGCGCCACACAGAAATGTAACTCGTCATATAAAGATAAATTTTGACCGTTACGTTATTTGTGTAAGTGTGTACACACACAGAGAGACACACCGGAACAGAGCCGTTGGATGGGTGTTAGTCCATCAAGCACGTGATATCAAGGACCCCACAATCCCACCAATGAGGACCGTTGGATCTCCCAACACTGCCGATACAACGAACTGAACGGCCATCCCCGCCATCTCACAACACTTCCTCACCTTCCCTTTGCTTTTGCTGCTGCTACTATGGCTGCTCTGAAGCGTGTTCTTCAAGCTAGGAACCTCATTCTCCAATCTGTAACTTCCTTTCTTGCTTTCCATATAAATCTCAGGCCAACTCTCCACCACCATCTCCCTCACACAAGCCACATGTAGATTGTAGCTCTTGCACTTTGATCTGTAGCTCCAGCTTCGTCCCTTCTTCCCACATCGGTGACACGCCGAGCTCACCTTCTGATACAGATACAGCTTCACTTCGCCATCGTCAAGAACCATTGGAAGCTTCGCGCAGCATGGATGGAGATCGAATCCACACGATGGGCAGTGATAGACGAACCCTGATATGCCCTTCTCGCACGCGTTGCAGAATCGAGGTATGTCGCCTGGTGGACGAGAGAGGAATTGAAACGAACATTTTGGGTAGAATGGATGGTAGATCGAAGGTGAAGGTAACGCACAGTGCATGTGGAGATCGTAGTCGCAAATGGAGCATTTGTAGCGCGAGCCTATCCCTACTTCCTTGCAGCCATCGCATTTGAATGGGAATTGTGAGTATTCGAAACTCAGCATGTGTTGAGGATGACCGAAATGGGATATCTCACTGTTCTTCATGGTCGTGTCTATGTATTTCTGAGGTTTCTTTGAGGAATACATTGCGAAGCTAATGGATGATATGAAGGGTTTGATCTGGATATTTTTTGCTCGATGGGTAGTTAGGGATGGTTTTGAAGGCTAGAAAGTTGTGATTTGAAGTTGGGAACATTGGCTTATAATTGAAGCAACTGGAAAGCGCTTGTTCCACCAGGAATGGAGGTGAATTCTAAATAGATTTCATGGGATAGGGAATCCCTGTGTTATCAAGAAGCAAGTAGGCAAAGCATAAGGTATATTAGGCCTTGTCCCACGAAGGAATATATACCAATTTTTACTTTTCATGGTCTTCTTAAGATTTGTTAACCGGCAACCTATTACACAAGTTTTTGATTTGCATTGCTATTAAGAAATGACTAGTGTGCAGATCATTTAAGGGATAGTTTCTTCATTTTAAAGAAGCAATTCAAAGTTAAAGTCGATGTGCAGTAATAACACGTAGGCAGTCTCTGTTCTTAATTAAACTTTTGAAAGGAAAAGGAAATAAGGGAATAAATCCCTTCTCTAAACAGTAGTTCTCTAAACTTTTGTCTTTAGGATAGAAATTCTTGTCTTCTTGATGATCACATCCATTTGCATCTTCATCAAGGATATGCCTATTACCGATAAGCATATGTTAGGAAATGATTCTTGCATGCCCTAAATATCTTCTAATATTTATAGCATCAAGTTATCAATTCTATAAAGAATGCGACCGAAGTTGCTTGATGGGGCTACCATTACTGTTCAAGTTCTGGTTGTCCTGATTTTTTGGTATCATTTTGTAAGGAATTATTTGTGAATCCATTGCTAATTGCTTGAATAACGTACCTTTAACTAAACCAAAAACTAACGGATCAGTCCAGATATGTACAAGCTGATTCAACCACCATCTGAGCATGACAGAAAGCAGAAAAGAAGAGGTTGCATAATGGTTACTAGGTTTAATACAAGGGGATGGATGATTCATGGTGGGCGAGGTCAGGTGAATGATTGAGGAGAATCAATGCCCTTGTGGCCTTGTGTCAGTGCTCAACAGTATCTCCTGTCTGAAGAACTGAAAGATCAGGAGAATCAAGCAACCCAAAGGAACCTATAATTAAGGTCCAGGCACTACTTTTTTTTTTCCAACTTCTTTTCTTTATTCTGTTCTTAACTTTTATTTTTTTTTTGACCGTTTCCCATTTTGTTTCTTTTGGTAGAGAAACAGAAACGTCAAGAATCTTCCTGTTTATACAAGTCATGTGTATGGATATTTCCTTCCCAGTCTTCTGCAGGAATTGTACTTGCAAGATCAAGAGACTGAAGTGAAAAGCTGTTCTCTGCTCTCTTTTTTTTTTCGAAACTGAATGAAATTATTTCTTCCCACTTCCTTTTAGCCTTCCAACTGCAGTTCAACATCAATTATTTCAGTTTTTCATGCACACAATTTGTTAGGGGTAGGGGTAATCAAGGAACTGATAGAAAAATTACTCGAACCATAATGTAATGTAGAAAGCCACATCAATTTTCACGGCATATAAAAACCAAGAATCGGATGGGCTAGATTTGTCAGAGTGATGAGCTCACATAAAAGATAGGCCGTCCGTGGTTTAAGCTATAGAATTTTCTGCGTCTCTTTTTCTTCTTTGTCATTCAGTTGGAAGTATGAAGAGTGGGGATTGGATAGGAAGGAACATTTTTTTTTTTTAATTTTGGTTATTCTTATAAAAGGAATTCCATCAAAGCTAAAAAGGCACAAACATGTAGTAACGGAGTGAAATAGGAATCTCGTTGGTGGTGTTTCATTCAGATTATTCTGGAACAAGAAAAAGAAAAGTAAAGAAGAGAGGAAAAAGAAGCAAAAATACCATTAAGTTTATCTTTTAACAGTGCTGAAAAATCATAAATCCACCATATTTGCTGTTCTGCTTTTATTATTATTGTACCAGATACGTCAACTTCAGCAATTGTTATTGAGAAATGATTTGAGAATAGTGCTGTAGCGGTGGCGGAAACTTCACACAATGATTGGACAGTTTCACAAACTAAGCAATCCTTCCATTCTAGTTCTAGGTTATCATGAAGCAATCATATGCTGCCTATGCTTCTGGAATGGTTTTGTGCCTACCAGTACCCTTTTGTAACCTCATTCTTTTGAATGTAGGGGGAAAAAAAAAAGGAAAAAAAAAATGTCAGTTTCCATTAAAAAAGAAAAAAGCTTTTGTGCCCTTTTTTCTGGCCCTTGATTGGTAATTCAATTTGATGTGTCCCTCTCCCTCTAAACTTCTATAACTCAATTTGATGTATCCGTCACCCTTTGATTAACTTTATCTTTTAGGCCCTAAATTTGTCCGATACCATCAAATGCAAGCATTAGGTTAAGAAATCTATTGAAAAATTTGTTTCTCATTTATTCTAATAGCAAATAGTTTATCTTTTGGGGATATTACATTAACTTCCCTAGGGGAACTGACAGCTTCTGTTTTATTTTTATTCTTTTTTTTTTTTGTTGCCAGCTGAAGAACTGACAACTTTCATCGTCCCTTCTTTAGTACAAATATTAGATAGTTATAGTTTTTATAATATGTTTTTCCTTGATAAATATATAATTTATAAATTCTTTTAAGATTCTAATTACGCAACATTAATTTACAGAGCATAATGGTTGTGCCAATGGTTTAAAACAATGACCCAAAGAAAAATAATAAAATGATGATATTTTACTTTTAGAGGTGATAGTGTCATACGAAGTTTTTTTCTATGTCCTCCTTTTGAAAGCATTTGTGTACAAGGCATTGTTGGTATTAAATATAAGCAATTTTTTAAAAAATAGATTTAGGGTATGTTTGGATTGGTACTAGGCAAAACTGACTTCTAACCTAACTGACTTTTGTAACTGAAGTTAGAGTAAAAGTTAATTAGGATATGCTTGGATAAGTGTTTTTAAAAAGTCAGTTGAAAAAGTTAAAAATTATTTGGATGATTAATAGAAAAGTTAGTTTAGTTGTAAAATGACTGAAAAGGACATGGATTTAATTGAATAATAATGTTTGAAATTTTATGTTTTTATGTGATAATAGTTTAAAAAAATACATAAAATTATTATTATAAAATATAAATATTTTATTTGTGAAATTATAAAATAAAAATATTTTTTACGAAGAAAAATTTGAAAAAACATTGTAGATAAATTTGAAAACACATTGTAGATAATTAATTAAATATATATAATGAACAAACATGAATATAAATTAAAATTCATTTGATCTGAATAAAAGCTCATTATGCTAACAAAGGAGATGAGGCAGAGGAGAAAATATGAAGATAAATCTGGGATGCTCATTTTTAATGATCATCATTTGAAATTGCAGTTTAAAAAGTCAGATTTTTCTTCGTTAAGTCCAACTGAGGTGAAAGCCAGAAGTTGGTTGTAAAAGTTAACCCAGTCAGACAATGTTTTTGGTTCAACTCAGTTTGCAACCTCAGTTTCACCATTTTGAAGATACTTTTGCTGTTGAAAATGGCAATCCAAACATGCACTTAAATTTTAGTTTACTATCTTATGAGGAACTAGTTTTTTTTGCTAAACCCAAATGGATAATGTCATATAACTTGCAGACACCAAGCCTTTAGCAGGCTACTCAGGTCCAACAAGGATTTTTGGGAAACAAAAACCGCAACCAAAGGCTACGTTGGGAAGGGAGGCAATCGGGCTCATGCTTAGATTGGGCCTGTACTTGATGGCTCATGACTTGGAAAAAGATTTTGGGCCCCATGTGCAGTGTTTCAAAAGGGGCATTCACCAGCGGAAGAACGCTAGAATCCCTACCTAGGGTTTAAGCATTCTGATTCTGCTTCTGCCAGAAACCGACACCTCTTCGTCGAAGAAACCATGTTTCCAGGAATGTTTTTGCGTAAGCCAGACAAGGCTGCAGCGCTGAAGCAACTGAAATCTCATGTCGCCATGTTCGGTGCTTGGGTCGTTGTAATTCGAGTCACCCCTTACGTCCTCCACTATCTCGTCGGAGAGAAGGATGAGCTCAAGCTTGAACTCTAGATTCTGATCCCCAGGTAACGAAGCAAATTTAGTTCGACCTAGTGATTGTAAATTTTCAAAGTTTAATGAATCTGTTTCGAGTTGACATTCGTCGTGTAACACCTCTTTCTTTCTGCATCACGATTTGGTAATTCATGGACTGGTCAATTGCTTTCTTTGCTTTCTTTCTTTTTTTAAAAGAAAAAACAGACTTTGCTTTGTTTTATTCATGCCCTGGATCTTGCTGCATTCGATCTATGCTGAAGAATTAAAATCAAATTGAATTAAATTCAAGGTTCATCTGATATAATTAGATTAATTGGGATCACGGACAACTAATTGATGCATTTAGTAAATCTTAGTTGAAGAATGTAATTTATCCACCTTTTTTGTCGTCATTTTATGATATGGCGGATTCCAGTTTACATGCTTGGAAGAAAACTGAACCAGAAAGTAGGAATCAAAAACCAAAACGGAGAAGAAAATTCTGGCTTTTGTCAGGACTGCTCGAGCTCTCAAGCGAGCCTTCCCACCTTAATCCTTTCCCCTCTAACAAGCTCCATACCGATAAAAACACCCAAACAGCATTATACCACATATTCAATCTGATAATAATTTTTGTCCCATTGTTATCTTTTAGCGAACTGTTCAGTAATAACAGCAGGGATAGTATTGAAAACTGTTGATGGGATCTTGAGTTTGCAGTAAGGAAGAAGAGCATCCCTTTAGACTGGGTTTACATGATTGCTTTTACACAAGTCTACTTATGACTTGCACAGTTAATTTGGTCATGCTTAGGTTAGGAGAGATAGTATGTACATTTGGGAGCTTGGAGTGGGTGGTGAGCTGAGTTTGGACTGTCTCAATTCGTGGAGGGAGGAGAATGTGTCATTTTGAATAAATTCTAAGATCACCTGAAAAATAGACGGAATAAGTTTTGGAAATTTGATCATGGTGATTGGTTTTCCTTTCACAACTTGAGACAATCCAACCCTGGTATGCCAGTGCCTACGTCATAGGTCTTACTAATTAGTGGCTTGATTAGTTTCAGAACTATGTTATTTCGTGTTTTTTTTTTTTTTGCTTGCATATTTATTGATCTCGTTTGGTATATTTGAGCATGTTTCTTCTTGCTTCTGAGAAATGAGAAACATGGAATGTTTTATGTGACTTTACTCTGTTTCAATAGGTTCTCAGTTGGCCTTGCGAAGAAGGACGGACTTGGGTCGTGGAAGTAATTTTTGGGATTGAGCCATCATATGTTATGAGTTGAATTATGTATATTTTCATGTATTAAGGTGGCCAGCCGCGTAATGGGGCTATTTGACAATTTAATGTAGTGAATCTGGTTATTCTGTGATAAGTCGTGAAGAAGAGTTTCTTCATACATCCGCTGTCTGTTCCTTTTGCCGCAATTCATTCTTATCCCTTAGAAGGCATGCGATATTTCTAGTCACTCAAATACCATGCGAAATGGACTAAAATAGAATAAAAATGAGTGGCCGGAATTTTTTTTTAAAAAATCTTTTTAATAAAAACAGTAGTGGAGGGAGACAATTATGTAATAAGATATAAGAGACGGGCCAAATATTCAATGATAACAATAGAGATATAGGGCGAATAGTTTATTCATGTAATTAGGATTTCTGTCTCTTTATTCCTTCCGAGTTAGCGGGCGACTCAGAAGCCGGAATTCAACAGTGATTTCGATCATTACATTTGAAGAGTGTTCTCCGTCATCCTCACTCGGTTATTGTCTAAGAGAACAACTTAAAATTAGAAGAGTTTATTTGACATTTAATTGGATTTTTTTTTTTTGGCCAACAACATTCAATTTGATTTTAAGCATAAGATCTTAATCTATTTAGTCTTTCTGTCCTTTTTTTTTTTAAAATAATTTTTGTAATAGTTATGTTAAAATTTTATTAAACAGTAGTTCTAACTAATATATATAATTAGTAAGAATATTTTTAAAAAAATAATATATATTTATTGCAAATAACTAAGTTAACAAATTATACTAATTTACTTAAATTAGCCAACTAATTTTTATATTAAGTACAGGAGATAATATTATTATAAAATATAATGGCGGCTTGGGCAAAACTCTCAATTCGGATAACTAGAAGCCTGACAAGGAGACCATGGTTTATAGTCTTGAAAATAGATTGATTTTTACTCCCATTTGGTGAGCGGTGTGAGAAAAAAGGGCCTACAAAAATTACTAATTCAGTTTATTTTATTTATTGGAACTGTTTGGTCTAGTACAAATTATCTATTTAAAAATATTAATGATGCCATTCTTTCGGTCAAAATTAATTATGTTGGCTAATTATTAAGAAAAGAAAAATCATAGATTTGTTTGGTTCTTTTGATATTCCTTCCTGCTTAACTCGTTTGGACCAGCCCTACATTGCAACCAATCTTCACTCTCAGAGACAAACCATAATGATCAGTACTCACTCAGCTCCGCATCTGAATTTGCAGCATCTCTTTCCTTAAAGCTCCAGCCATCTCCTCGTTCCCCTGTCTCATATACCCATCAATGAAAGCACCATATATCTCTGAATCTAATTGAAACCCTTTTCCTATCATCTCTGCCTGAAGCTTCAATGCTTCTTCCATCCTTCCCTCATAACATAGCCTCTTTATCATGGCCTCATAACTCGTTTCCTTGGGAAACAAATCAAATTTATCCATTGCATATCTCAGAAACGCTAATGCCTCATCAACCCTACCCTTGTCACAAAGTAAGCTAATCATCAGGTCAAGAGTTAAAGCTTCTGGCTTAAAAGCCTTCCTGCACATATCTTTATAAACAAGAATTGCTGAATCGATGTCTCCTATATCACAGTGTCCCTTGATGATGTGCTCATATGTTGCAGATGTACCTTCTATACCATTCATTGCCATTTCTCTGTAAAATTCTTCAGCCCTCCCAACATTTCCAGTCTTGCAAAATCCACCAATCATGGTTTCATAACTCACTGCATCAGGCTCCAAGGCTTTAGTTCTCATTTCTTGCCACAACTTCTCTGCTTCTTCCATTTTCCCTTCTCCACAAAATACAGCCACCAATACAGTATAGCTATAAGCATTGGGAACACAGTTCAATTCAACCATTTCGTCCCAAATCTTTTTCACCTTCTCAATCAAACCGTTTCGATAACAGCATAACATTAATGTGTTATAAGTATACACATTAGGGATGACTCTAATATCCCCTTCATCTCTTTCTTGCTTTCCTCATCTAACCGAAAGACCTCCCTGTAAATTTCATATCCTGCTTCAACCCCTCGAGATTGGCAAACGCAATAAATCAGAGAATTCAAGGTACTGACATTCAGGTTAATCCCACGGGACCGTAACAATCTCATGATTTCAATTGAAGGGTCAATATTTTTTGATCCCAAACAAGCTTTGATCAACAAATCGAACACAAATGGAGCAGAACCACAATCTTTATAAGTCTTCACTAGATTCTCGAATACCTTTAATGGTGTTGACCTGGGATTATTTCCGTCATCGTCCTCCCGCAATTCGGACGCTCGAATAGCCATACGAATGATGTCCTGGGCATGTGACTTGAGACGGCCACGAGCAAGAATGTGGATGATTGTGGAATAAGACGCAAGGTTGTGGTTGCAGAGGGATTTGCTAAAGCGAAAAAACTGGAATGCGAGATGCGGTCTGTTCCTAAGGTGAAGGGTAATTTGAGAAAAATCGTCGGGATCGAAGCCATCGGGGTAGAGAGAACGGAGGTAGCTCCAGCGAGACTTGGAACGGCGGTGGGTGAGGATAGAAACGGCGGTGGTTACGGCAGTGGTGGAGGCCTCATCGGATGACGATGGTGATGCAGAGTAACAGAAAACAGACGAGGATTTGCGAGCTTGGGATGTGAGGGGGAAACGCTTAAGGAGTTGAGCCGCCATTGACAGGAGCGTGATTGTGAGCGCAACACAGAAAGCGAACCATGTGGCAAATGAAACGCCCCTAAAACGCTACAAATTGGCTCACGAACTATGAGGAAGAGGTTAGAGACTTAGCAAACCAGAGTGAGCAAACACAGTGGTAGGAATAAATTCCAAATCTCGAGCCTTGAATTTGATTCAATATGAATTTTAATTGTTTCATGTTGAAAATGAATACAATGCGAGAGGCTTTCGCCGCCGTACCCCTTGACTCCCACAACAAGCTTCTCTTCTTGCGTTCTCGCCGTCGGCCGTCACGTTCTCTTCTCCTTCAAGCTCGCTTCTTCCGGCGTTAGTGTTGGATTCGCTCGTCCCCAATGTTCCTTTTTTTTTTTTTGCGTCAGCTTATTTGTCTTTGGGCTTGTGCTGGTTGAAAGGCCCACAAGCTAAAAATTGCAGCCCTTTTTCCCTTTCGGATCGGGTTATGGGTCGGAACTCGTCCATTTTTGTTGGTGCACATCCCTAATTCCCCACTTAATAATGTGAGTTTCATTTTTGAAAAATACATAAATATTACCAATAGGAATTGAACCTAATGAAAGGTACTAGTTCCTTACAATGTAACAAAATAAGATTCAAAATCCCGTTGGAAAAAGTCTTACATTGAATATCTGATAGTGTCTTAAATAGGATTACCTCTCATAACAAGAAACCTATGCAATGCAAAAAATCAAAAACTAGTCCATCGTTTACATTCTTGAACTCAATTAGACGCCAAGACAAAAGTGCATTTTTCAATATTAATGATATGATAGGTGGTTTAAATTTTCCATAGGGATATTTTATGAAACATACATTAATTGAACCTAGAAATTTGCATTGAGACAGTATATTTTGGAGGGGACAAAAAAAGAGTTTGAAATTGGGACCTGTATCAGGAATGGAGGAAGTACATATTAAATCAAAACTTTTTCCCATTTCACCGGGAAAAAATTAGAAACAGTAAAACATTGCACATTTTTCAAAGTTAAAAAAAAAAAAAAAAAAGGAGGACGAGACGAGATAATATTTTTTGTTGTATTTTGTTGTTTTGGAGGATGGGTCAATTTATAAGTCAGCGGGATCATCATTGATTTTTGTTCTCACTTCTCAGCAACACCTTTGCCTGCCTGAATGCCGCTGTTTTGACTTTTTCATGCACACTCACTGGCTGCGCCTAATGGAGTAGGAAATTGGAGCTTCTGACTTTTTCTTTGTTTCTTTTAAAACATGTTTTTGATTTCCTATCGTTAGGTTTGATACGAGAAAAATAAAAGAGAGGAGAGATTAGGAAAAAGTTTAATAAGCTTAATCTTTAAAAAACTGGAGAAGTAAAGTTTTAAAATTTAATAAAGAGAAAATATAAGATAAAAAATTAATTAAAAATTTTTAATCCCTCTTCTCTATTTTTTTTAAATCAAGCTTATTAAAGTTTTTTCTCCCTTCCTTTTTTCTCTATTTTCTTCATACCAAATGGATGCTAAATTATTCTCTTTAATTATATGTATTGAATTATTTCTTGATAGGAGCAGCTTACAACTAATAAGATATTTTAAAAAAACTATAAATTAAAAAACAAAATAAATTAAAATCTCATATTTAAAACTAAATAGCTCTTATACCTAGGATAAAAAGTAGTACTTCATAAAAACAATGTATTTATAAAACTAAATTGGATAGAACTCGATAATATTATCCAAAAATAAGTATATCAAGTTTTTTATCTATTGTGCATGAAAAAAACAGTTGTCTACTAATAATATAGCGGATGAATTTGAAAAATTAAGTTGACAAGAAAGCCATGAGCCTGTGACTGATTCACTGTTTTGATCATCCATTCCTCTATTGAACAGTCGTGATGAAATTGCCTTTATGTCCTTTCCATTTACTTGATTTTGCATTTTGATTAAAGATTTACACTCAGATTAGTAAGGATGATTCAATACTTTCTCCGCCTGGCTTGCGCTGTCCGCCTCTATTTTCCCGTTGCTTTTCCTAGAAAGTGGATTTCCCCCATGCAACATAGTGTACACCTTCTGTTTCGCTTGATATGGATTGCTGTTGGATCAGGCACTTTTTATTTTTTTCTTTCAAGCCCCTGGATCTGGCACCCAATATTAAAAGTTAACAAAGAAACAAATCCAATCTCCAATTAAAAACAGATCTCAAATTTCTGATAGGCCAATTTTCAACTTCCTTCTAGATTGTTGTTCTCTGTTCACTGTTTTAGATCTGGCAGCCATTTGTTTAATATAGAAACTCCAGTATAATTTGTTTAACCTCACAGAGTAGTTAAAATACTCCGTTTTTTTTTTTTATAATAGAATCTCGAAGTGCTTGAAAATAAGCACGCACGCACACATGACATGACTGATTAAGAAGATATTAATAATATTAAAAATGGTGATTTTCATCAATGGGGCATTGAATGGTTTTGTTAAGGTTCCAAGAGCGATTACCAACAAGGCTGAGCAATGAAGTGATTTAGCACTACTGGACAGGGGCGGTCATTAATGATAGGGTCAAAGGAAATAAATATATAATAATAAAAATTAAATATGTTAAATAAATTACTATCACTGTACCATCATCAATGACGTGTCTTTGGCTTAAATTCCTTGGAAAATTGGTAGTATTCTCTATTTCTCCCACTCTGCCAAAAAGCACCTCGCCTTAAATTCACCAAAGTTGACGTGTCTTTCACAGTCCTACATAGCCTCCCCTCCCTTTATCTCTCTCTCTCTATTCCTTCCACACACTGTGCAGCCTGAAGAATCAGATTAAGACGGAAGGGAAGAGGAAAAACCAAAAAAAAAAAAAAAAGAGGAAAATAAACACTTTCAGTCAACCTTTGCATTAAACTCACGAACCAAGTTCTACAGTTTCTTTCTTTTAATCTCTCTCTGTTTTTATGACTCCTGGAGCATCAAAAACCCTATTTCTTACCTCTCACAGAAACTCCATGATCATTCTCATGATGATGATGATTCCACCGGCGTCTTCTTCTTCTTCTTCAGCTCCTTCTCAGCCACCCCATCTTGGCGTTCACCGCTGGGCCCCATCTGCTTCTCCGGCACCGGCCCCTTCACCGTCCACCCCTGCCCCCGCTCTCCTTGCGGTACCTGTCGGCAAACCATCACCTCTGCCCTCTAAGTTGTCGGTTGACTTCAGCCCACCGCTAATTGCAATGGTGGTCGTCGTTGCCGCCGCCTTCATCGTCGTCACCTATTCCCGCCTCATCTCCCGCCACCTCGTGCCTCCGATAACCCGCCTTGCTCGCCGGTGGCGCCGCCGTAGGCGACGTTCCTACCCACCCTCCTCCTCCGGCGACCTCGACTCACTTCCTTATGATTCTCCTTTTGAGCCGATTGATGGGCCTCACATGTTCTCCCCTTATGGTCTCGACGAGTCCATCATCAAGACCATACCGTTTTCCCTCTACACCGCCAAATCCAAGGATCAATTCGAAGAGTCTCGACGCGATTGCGCGGTTTGTTTGTTGGAGTTCGAAGACGATGAGTACGTCCGAACGCTCCCTTTTTGTTCTCACACTTTTCACCTGGATTGCATCGACGTTTGGCTCAGGTCGCACGCCAATTGCCCCCTGTGCCGCGCCGGAGTTTTGTGCGCAGAGTCCCCGTTCACGCCAATGATGGCAGCGAGGATTCGGCCGAGCCTCGACGACGACACGATTTTGCATAGAATCAGTATGGACCCTATGGTCGAAGCTCCATCGCCAGTGGCTCATTCTCTGGTGTCAGAGATCACTCCTTGCAACGAAGAGCAATCACCGAGAAGGAACCACGCGAATCCGGAGGACGATCGATTCAACGGCGGTCGTGATTTCCTCCTGAAGCGATCCTACTCGTTCGGATTCGAACGGAGCTTGGCGTCAGAGAGAATGGTGATGGAGCCGGCGACGGCGTCGCCGTGGCGGTACCACCGAAGGGGAAGCAGCAGCAGCTTCTGGAGCAAAAGGCCGTCACCGTTCGGATCGTTGGGAAAGTCCAGAGTGTTCTCCTTCAGATACTACAGAGGGATGAAGTCGCCGTTCTTCCGGAGGCGAGGGTTCTTTCCTCTGTCGGAATCAAGCATGATCATACAACGGAGGAGGAGGAAGCTCGTCACGGCGAAGCAAGTCAATCGCAAGCCCGATGTTCCTGAGATCGTCAGCAGCCTTGGCGGCGGCGGGAGCAGCAGCTTTCTCGTCGAGCCGGCTGAGGTGCGGCGACCCGGAGGCATTGCTGTCACCGGAGAGATACAACAGGAGATAAAAGAAGGAAAAGGAAGAAGTGGGAATTATTTTTTGTAACTTTTTGGGTTGGGGGGTACGTGGAAAGAGATAATTGGTGAAAAGACGGTCGGAGATGGTGACGGAGAGAAAAGGGCGGCGGGGGAAGGAGGAGAGAGAGTGGGGTCAGGGAGAGAGGAGAGAGAGGAATAGGAATTAATGGAGGGGATTAATGAGAGGGCCTGTCAATATGTAGAGGGTCATTAATGGGAAGGTGGCTCTGCATTTAATGTCTCATAAATTTGACGAGAAAGAGAGACAGAGCTTCTTCAATTCACTCTCTCGTGCTCATATTCCCTCTGCCTGCGCCTGCTTCCCTTGCACAATGTCTCTGCTCTGAAGTTGAGAGGGAAAGAAGCTCATAAATGGCGGGAGGATAAGGCTTCCCTTTGGCCCTTCCCTCCCAGTTTTGATTACACATGGAGTATTTATGTACATTATCACACTTTGTGCTTCTTTTTAATTAATTAATTATTAATTAGAATTTTGGGGACTTATCTGCTCATTATACTTGATGCATGTTTTTGTTTGGGTGGAAGGGAGATTTCATTCAAAAGGAATAAAAGATGCAATCAAGGGGAATTAAACCCCACTCCTAAGTACAAAAGAGGGTGATTACAATGAAGTTCTCCTAGCATGGTGTGGGTATTGTACTGCTCTAGTCCCATTATAAGTGGGTTTTTTTTTATTAAAAAAAATTAGTTTCAACATTCAAATATAAGTGATCGAGAGGGTTAGCATTAATTATTGTTTTTAAATATTACATCTATTAATCAGAGAGAGTGTGAAGGAAAGGAATGAGAGAAAATTTATAGCATTTGTTTTCGATACACATTTTTTAATGAGAGTAAATTCAAAAAATTTTATTAACTTAAAATATACTCATCCGGTCCTACTTATAAGGCACTTTCAACATATTTCACACATATAAAAAAAATCTTAAATTTCATTAACCCTCATTTAAAATTTAATGACTTTTCAACTTTATCTTTATTTAATATGCATTATAGTACCTCATATAAATAAAATCAACACAATAATAAATAAGAGGTAAAATTGTATATCCATATAAAAAATTTCTCTCAGTGTCTTATAAATAGGATCAGAAAATATATTCTCTCTCTGTCCTATAATAGGAACAAAAAATTACATTCCCTCTCTACCCTATAAATAGGACCAAAAGAGTATTTAATCCTAAACTGCATTGGTTAGGGAGTTGATTTTGATTTGCAATGTATTGAAAGTAAATAATTTATTTAGTTTCTTAACCTACCTAATTTGTTTATGCATTAAAAATCAAAGAATAACTTAAATGTCATTCTTTATTTGTAAGAATTTTTTGGAAGTTACTTTTATAACCTAGTCGAAAACAGAAGTAGTAATAATTACGTGTTTTATTTATAGAGCAGAGAAAAAAAGTTTTTTTTGTCCCATTTTTATAAGTCACCTTATTAAATTTTCAACGTGAATATTCTGTTTTGTCATTCATTTATTATTGTGTAGGTAGTTATTTCTTTTGAAATGTTTATATATTAAATATGGGTGAAGTTAAAAAATTGTTATATTTTAATGAAGAGTTAATGTATTTTAAGGTTTTTCTTAGTCTGTGTAAAGTATACTGAAAGTACCTTATAAATAGAACCAGAAGAGTAATATACTCTCTTGATCTTATTTACAGGACAGAGAGAGAATAAAATTTTTAATTTATTTATACGGCAGAGAGATAAAATTTTCACATCAATATATAATTTTAACATTCATTTAATATCATGTTTACTTTGTTCTGGTAAAGTATATTGTATATTAAATAGGGATAAAATCGTAAAGTACTTAAATTTTAAATTAGAATTAATAAAATTTAAGCTTTTTATTGATCTGCATGAAACATATTGGAAGTAATTTATAAATAGAATTATAAGAGTAAATAATTTCTAAAATATAATAATCAAAATAAATGGAATACAAAGGAAGGAGGGGAAGCTAGCTAGGTGAATTAACGGGGACGGGGTAAATTGCTTGGGAACACTAATGAGGGCGGTAATAGTAATTTCGTTACCAGAGGCAGGGAGGAGGGGAGGCCATGTGGGAAAGAACCCAAATGATATGAATAGGCACATTAATTGTGGTGCTTGGACGCGGCCAATCTCTTCCTCTGGTTGGTTTGGTTGCAATTAATATTCTTTGCATTTTGGATCTCCAGCCTTGCTTTCTCATCCCTATCCACACTTTACCTTATCTCTACTTTACTGGTAATTAAAAAAAGAAAGACTGAGCATCATGCGGCATTATGGGAATTAATCACCAAATAATAATAATATAATTGTTATTATTATTATAACAACTATTGGAATCCTGTGGCTTCAAAGGAGATTAGTATTATACTTTTTCATCCCTTTTTATAAATAACAACTATTATCTCTTTTATAAAGACTTTAAATATAAATATTATAAATGTCTTAAATTTTTATGACAACATTTCTTATTTTATCCCATTAATTATTTATTTTAATATCTAATATATTTGTTATCTATTTTCCAAACTATCATCTCTTTTCATCCACATTTTCTCTCTTTTATTATTCTTTTATCATAATAATTTTCTTATTCTCTTTCTTATACTTTCTTTTCGCATAAATAAAAGTATTTTGAAAAAAATCTAATTTTTAATTATTTATTGTCTTTATTAACTTTTTAATTACGTAATATAGTCTTATGTTACTTAAAAAAAAAAAAGGACGGAGCGAGTAATATTTAAAGAGTATGGTTTTTGTTTTTCCAAATTGGCGAGCAGAAAGAGTGGTGCTATTTGACGACACAGAGAGAGCGATTGGAGAACGTGGATGATGGAAAAAACACAAAGTGCGGATCAGGCCATTTTTCCAATGTGAGTCTAATTCAAAAAAGTGTTCGGCCCATACTAATTGGAGTTCTCGCAAATGTGGCCCAAATAAAATGTCCTTTTTCCTCAACGTTTATCCCCATGAGATTTCACAGTTCTTCTGATATAAACGTGATGGTTTCTTTAGACATGAGGGAATCAACTTTGAAGTAGGGCTGAGCAAGCTACCCGTAACCCTGCCGCCCGCCCGCCCCACACCCGTTAAATTGGGCCCGTTTTGAGCCTGCCCAAAAAAAAAAAACACGAGCGGGCTTAAACGGGCGTGTTTAGGAATTAAATGGGCGGGTTACGGGCAAAGGCACGGGCTGCCTGTACCCGCCCGTTTAGACTCTTTTTTTCTCTTTAAAAAAAAAAACTGCTCTAACTTGTGGGCTGAGAGGCGCCTCTTTCCTCTTTCTTGCGAACCTCCCACTCTCCCCACTTTTATTCTGCTATGCCTCTGCCTCAGACTGATCTCAGAAGCTTAGAGCCCTCAATAGTCAGCCCCTCACGCTGCCATTCACCTTTCGATCTCTCAGTCTCTCACGCACATGGTGTAGGTGATTAGATGCACAAGCAACGCGTTGCTCACTCAGTCTCGGCACCGACGTTCACGACGACTCTCGCCTTTTTGCCTTTGGGTCTTGCACGCTCAGTCTTGTTGGCATCTGAGCAATGAGCTCTCCTCTCTCATCACCTCCATGGTACTGTCCGTTGGGAGTCCTATCACTCTCCCTTGCCTCTTAGCCTCATCGACGGCGTCTCTCTCACCTCTTATCTCATCTCATCTGTCTATATTTCATTGCATTTCAGCTTCAAATCTTCCATTTTTTTACTCTTGTTAGCTCTTGCCTTTTGGGTTTGACATTTATGGGTAAGATTGAGATCACTTTCGTTAGTTTAATGTTTGTATTTGCTTATTTTATATATGTGTTGCTGCCTTGATGGTGAACACCGAACATTGGTTTCTATTTTAGTGAAAATTGGTTCTGTTTTAGAGAAAGTATTTTGATTTTTATTGTCTTTGAAAGCTGCAAAGGTTCAGTAGGAATGGGAAATAAGATGAGATTTTTCATGTCTTTACATTTGAGCAGGTTTCAGATTTTGATTTCTTAAACGGGTTTCCCATAACCCGCATAAACCCGCCCAGTTCAACCAACCCCAATTAACAACGGGCTTAAATAGGTATCGACGGGTACGGGCTAGCCGTACCCGTTTAATTTAAACGGGCGGGCTAAGGGTTTAGGGGCCGAGCAGCCCAACCCGCCGTTGCTCTGCCCTACTTTGAAGCCACTTAGTCCGTTAGTATGAAGTATTAAAAATAAAAGATTGAGATTGAGATTATAATTAAAAAAATAATTAAATACTACTTCTGGTCCTAATTATAAAAACTAGTTGATTAATTTGAGGAGACTAAAAAAAAATAAGTTAAGTTAGTTATTTGTAATAAATATGTGTTGTATTTCCTAAAATATCCTTACTAATCAAGTTTATTGGCTAGGACTAGTATTATAGAGCGACTATCTTGAGAAAGAATGCATAAATATGAAAGACAAAGTGGATTGGAATCTTATACCCTTCCGTTCCTTATTTAAGAGACAAATAACCAAATTACGTTGATAAAAAAAACAGTTAAAATTAGTTGAGGGTATTAATGTGTAAAAATATAATTTTTTTCCAACAATGCCCCCATTATAAAGAGAGAGGATTAGAGAGAACAATTAAATTATTAAAAGAAAAAGATGGGAGGGATAGAGTATGAGTTGGAGACAAAATAAATATGGGTAAAATAGGAAATCGATACAAAAATATAGACAAACTTTTAAGTGTCTCTTATATATGGAAACATACCATTAAGCATCAAATGTCTCTATAATAAAAAACAAATGGAGTAATTAGGACCAAAATAAAAATCAAATGAGATCTTTATTAAGGATCGGAAGTAGTAGTATTTAGTAATGAGTAATTATCTTTATATGGGATTAGGCAAACCCATAGAGGTGGGATTGGGGAATCCACTTCCCTTCAATGTATCTTTAATCTCACATATAGAGTTGACTAATCCCATATAACAAATAATCTCTTATACTAAACGCTCTTTTATAGATTTTCTTACTTACAATTCCATCCCAATCTTTTATTTTCAATGCTTTCTACCAACGTAACATAAATGTATACCAAAGTAATTGGAAAAACACTACGACAATATTCAATTTCATTTAGTTGGGTGATTAGTGGAGCTCAGGGGCTGTGGGGAATTGATCATTTATATTGTTGTAGATGGAAAAACATATATATATATGTATAAAGTGGTGTGTTTAAAAGTGTCAGAGAAAATGTGTGCATATGAAAGGGACGACAAAGGGCCAAG